TGGACACAAATATGGATCTCTTCCAATCAGTCGGCCAGATAGTTGTCTTCCAAATTTCTTGGCAGAGATGAGTGAGTGCCTCTTGTGCCGCCTCACTTTCTTGAAAGATTTCAATTTTTATTCCATCAATTCCTGGTGCTTTGTTCTTTGCCAATTCTTTAATGTTGCTGTTTATTGGTTAGCTGCCATTCAGTTGGCTAAGACTCTCATAGGGGCCCCATGCACAACAGACTGAAACACTGCCCCGTCCTGTGCCGTCCTCACAACTGTTACGTTGGAGCCCATTGTTGCTGCCACTGTACCAAGCTATGTCTTTGGGGGAGGGGTCTTCCTCTTTTTCGCTGACGCTGTTCAGTTAATAGTCCAACGCAAACCACTTTGGCCACCCTGGGGGGTTGTAACAATGGACTGGGATTATAATTATTTTCATTTTACAGCTGAGAAAACTGAGGCACCCAGACGCACACAGGAAAACCTTAAGATTACTGCAAAGGAACCGCGCCTGCAAGGGTTACAAGGTGGATATTGTCATTCTTGGAGATTGGAAGCTGGGCGGGGGTCTTATTTGAAGCATCTGGAGGCCAGTTTGCTTGGTACCTGGGAGCCCTGCCCCGACACACTACCGCCCCCCCCCACCCCCGCACTGACCAGCCGCCGGAACAGTCTCTGCAGCTGCGCGGCGTCCTCTCGTAGCCTCCCGGCCACACGGCTGCGGGTCCGAGCCGAGCGGCAGCGCAGACGTCCGCGGAGCAGGGGCCGCACGTACTCGACCAGCGCCCGCCGGTGCAACTCGGCCACCAGCGTCTGGGGGAGGGAAGACAGACGGGCAGGGTGAGCTACAGTGACCTGTCCCCTTCGCCATCTCCCTCCCGCTCCTCACTGCGACCCCTGACCTACTAGATGATGTCCGCCTCTGTCCGGTTGTAACCGTCCTAAGGACATCATTCTCCGGAGCCCCACCTCTCAGAGGTCCCGACCCTGTCCGCATCTTCCTCCCCGCCTCACGTCCCGGTTCCCGCAGAATCCCGCAGGGTCCACCTCCCACACGGAACAGTCGGTCACTGTCTGTTTGGCGGCGAAGCCCCCTTCCCGAAGCAAGCGCACCTGATAGGGCTCATCTTGCATTCTGCGCAGTGCCAATGCCTGGGCGCCCAACGTGCCCACGATGCCGTCCAGGGCCTCGGTGCTGCTCAGCCACTTTCGCCGCATCAGCTTGTTGAAGTGGGGCTGCGGGAACAGAGGGGCAGATCTCTCTCTTCCACTCTTCACTTTTTCAACACAGATTTCCAAAGCTCTGCTACTTGCGCAATCTGCGCTTTCCCATTCCTGCTCCTTGCGGGGGCTCCAGGTCCGAGGGGAGACAGACCTGTCTCCACGTAGTGAGGACCAAGAGTGGGCAGGGCTGGGGTAGGTAAACTCCAGGAGGCTGGGGGTGCCCAAGAGGGAGCCTGGATTGCCTGAAGAGTCAAGGAGGGTTTCCTGGAGGAGGGGCTGGCTGAGTTGAGACCTGGGGGATGTAAGGGGTGGGCAAGGGAATGGAACTGCAGGTGTGCAGGACAGTCTCTCAGAAGATGGAAGAAGAGCCAGGGTTGCTGGCTGGCAAAGCCGCCTAATTTGTGGGGCTCAGTGCAAAGTGAAGGAGTGTTATGGCTTTGTAGATAAGTGCTGATCTGAGAATCACAAGGTCAGCGGTTTGAGTCCACCAGCCACTTTATGGGACAAAGATGAGACTTTCTGCTCCAGCAAAGATTTACAGCCTCAGAAACCTACTACAGGGTTGCTACGTGTTGGGACCCACTCCACAGCACTAAACAACAACATAACAGTGCTAAATGAAAAATGGGGCTTCTTCAAAATGATTAATTAAAAATTCCAAAAGGCAACAACAGGGGACCAATACTAAACTAACATGGGGAGGGAGCTTCGAAGAGGCCCTGGGACGATCGTCCAAGTCACATGCCTGTCAGGTGGCGTGTAGTGGCTCATTGGAGGCTGTGATGGGGAGTGGGAAGGAGGCTGATGAGTGGGACAGAGCCCACCACAAAGATGAGGGGGCTTCAGTGAGGCACCAGAGTTGTTCAGTTAATAGTCCAACGCAAACCACTTTGGCCACCTCTGGTGCAGTTCTGAGTAGGGGAGAGAAAGGGCCGGATTTACAGAGATGGGGAGAGGAAGGAGGTGAGACTAAGGCTGAATCAGGGAAAAGGCACCTGGTGGGTGGGGTTTGGAAAGGAGAATCCACTCATCAGAAGTTATAGGATGGAGTGATCATAGGTCTCTGGGTGGGGCGGTCAGTACACTCTTCTAACCAAGATTGAAAGTTGAGTCCACTCAGAGGCATCTCAGAAGAAAGACCTGATCATCAGCCATTGGGGAAAAACCTATAGAGCACAGTCTTTCTACTCTGACACTAAAGAGGGCCCCATAAGTTGGCGTCAACTCCACTGAAACGGGTTGTAACCGGTTAGTGAGTGGAGGTTGAGGAGGGAGGGAGTCAGCGTGGGTAATGAGTCTTCCCCTGAGACAGAGGTTGGGAGGAAGGGGTGCAACAGACAGATGAGCAGAGTCTGAGGTGACTGCAGATACCGGCAAACTGGGTGTCCACAGAGGTCTGAAGCAGGTCCCCATCCCACTCAGGCCCTCTCTCATCCCAGCAGTTGCCCAGTCTTCTGAGCCTCTAAGACTAGGGCCTGTGAGCTTTGTGGGAAAGCAGGGCATGCAGGAACCCACATAAAGCCAGGGTCCCATGGATTCTTCCAGCGCTCCTAGGCATGCGGCAAGCAAGCAGGCAGGCAGGCAGGCAGGCAGGCAGGCAGGCAGACAGGCAGGCAGGCAGGCAGGCAGGCAGGCAGACAGGCAGGCAGGCAGGCATTGTCCTCTCAACTTCTTTAGTCACTCCCTACAGTTACACACTTAAATACACTAGCTCTCTGCCTCTTAGAATTTTGAGGATATATATGTATCCTAAGGAGTTCTGGTTGCTTAGTGGTTACGAGTTGGGCTGCTAACCTCAAGATCAGCAGTTTGAAACTACCAGCGGTTCTGCGGGAGAAAGATGAGTCTTTCTGCTCCCATAAAGATGTATAGATTCAGCAACCCTATACAGGGTAGCTATGAGTCAGAACCAACTCCAGGGTACACAACCACGACCACATGTATCCTGGTATGGCAATGTAGGATAAACACTGGACTGTCAACTGCAAGGTTGGCAGTTCAAACCCACCACCCACTCCTTGGAAACCCTATATAAGGTCCCTTTGAGTGGAAACCGACTTGACAGCACTTAACAACAATAGTAACATGTATATGGAGAGTCCTGGTATGGTGCTATAGGATAAGCACTGGACTACTTACCTCAAGGTCTGCTATTCAAACCCACTGCCCACTCCTTGGAAACTCTATACAGGGTCTCTGTGAGTCCGAACTGAGTCAATGGTGCTTAACCACAACACTGTATTTATAGAGAGAGGGTTTAAGAAGTTTGTGGGGAAATGGAACTGAAAGATAATGAAAATTTCCCCCACTCCAGGGGAGAAAGATATGGTAGTTTGCATCTGTAAAGACTGTTGTTGTTTTTAAGTGTGTTGAGTTGGTTTCGACTCATAGTGACCCTGTATCCGATTTCCAAGGAGCAGCTGGTGGGTTTGTACTTCTGACCTTGTGGTTCACAGTCCAGTGTTGATCCTTTGGGGCAGTCTGAACAGATTTGATAGCAACAGGTTTAATACACACACACACACACACATAAATACATGTTGTTGTTGTTATTAAGTGGGTCAAGTCGGTTCCAACTCATAGTGACCCTGTATAGGTTTCCAAGGAGCAGCCGGTGAATTTGAACTGCTATCTTGTTCAAACCAACCTTTTGGGTCCAGTGCTTTATCCCATAATGCCACACCGGGACTCTATATGCGCACACATATCTGTGAGGGCTTCAAAAATTCATGGAAAAATGAAATTAAAAAGATAATGAGATGATACATGGAAGGGATTGCAATCATTATAATGAAACACAGTATATGACTTGTTTAATGTAAAACTGATTATCTGCTCTATGTAAGCCTTCACTCAATTTGCACAAAAAAAGTTAATTTAAAAAAATGAATTTTTTTTTCCAAAAAATTTCCTTTCCAAAAAATTCCAGGATTAAAAAAAAAAAATTTTATTCCTGGAATTTTCCTGGGAAATTTTTAAAGCCCTATTCGTATATGCTCATTTATATTGTTATCATTGAGTCGATCCTGATTAGCGGAGACCCCATGTGTGCAGAGCAGAACTGTGCTCCCCAGGACTTTCAAGGTATGACCTTTCTGAAGCAGATCGCCAGGCTTCTCTTCCTAGGCACCTCTGGGTGTGTCATTCAAACCCATCAACCTTTCAGCCAGTAGTCAAGTGCATAACCATTTGCACTACTCAGGGATTCCACTTCTGTGTTTGATTATCTTTTGCTGGTATCTCTCCCTTTAGCTATCTCTCTGTTCCATCGGTCTCCTTCAGTCTCTTTCCTTCTCTTTCTCTCCAACTGACATTGCCTCTCTGTATTTCTATCTGCCTCTGTCTCTCTCTCAAAACATATACAGACCCCATAGCCATCGAGTCGAATCTGATTCCATGTGCTAAAGAGTAGACGTGCTCCATAGGGCTGTCTTGGGGGTAATCTTTATAGATGCAAACTGCTAGATCTTTCTTTTGTAGCACCCCTGGGTGGATTTGAACTACCAACCTTTAGGTGAATTGTTGTTAGGTACCGTGGAGTCGGTTCCGACTCATAGTGACCCTACACAGGGTTTCTGAGGCTTTAATCTTTATGGGAGCAGAACACCTCATCTTTCTTCCACAGAACTGCTGGTAGTTTTGAACTGCTGACCTTGAGGCTAGCAGCCCAACTCGTAACCACTATACACTACCAGATTGAGCCCAAATCATCGGCATCACCCAAGGCTCTAAAACATACAATAAACCAATCCAAAACTGTCCTGACTCAGAGACCTCATAGAACAGAGTAGACCTGCCCTGGTGGTACCAAGGGTTAAGTGCTTAACTGATCGTTGAAAGGTTGGTGGTTTTAAACCCACAACTGCTCCATAGAAGAGAGATGAGGCAGCCTGCGCCAATAAAGATTTACAGCCTTGGAAACCCTATGGTGTCCCTGTATTTCAACAAGGATCGACTTGATGGCAGTGATCTTTATAGAAGCAGACTGCCACATCGTTCTCCAGCAGAGAGGGCCTGGTGTCACACTGCTAACCTTTCCCAGTTGGTTAGCAGGGGAATGCTTCAGTAGCTGCGCTGTCAAGGCACTTGGTGGTTGGAAGAGACAGTACATCTGTGAGTACAGCAATGGCTGATCTCTGGAGACTAGTAACTGAACTAAGCACTTTACCTCCCAAATCCCATCACTCTCTCACAACTGCCTGAGAAGTCTGGAATTCTCATGCCCATTACCAGATGAACACAGAGAACCTGAGAGAAGAAGCAGTTTTGTCCAGTGTTATCCCCTTTGAAACCAAGTGGGCTTGAAACCAAGGCCACTCCCCCTTTCCAGCACCCCATCAAGTCGACTCCAACTCATGGCGACCCCATGTGTGTCAGAGTATAACTGTGCTCCGTAGGGTTTACAATGACTGATGTTTTTCAGAAGGAGAGTGCCAGACCTTTCTTCTGATGTACATGTGGATGGATTCAAGATGCCAACTTTTTGGTTAGCAGCTGAGAGCAAACCATTTTTTGCCATCCAGGGGATTCCTTCATCAGTCATTCAACAAACACTCTCAAAACCCCTCTGTGCGTGTTATGTGTTGGGGACACATTGGAGAACCAAACAAACCAAACCTTGTGTGTTCAGTCGTGAGGCAGGGGACTCTGAACACTAACTTGGAATCTGATGACATTAAATAATTACTGTTCCTTGTGTTAGGTCTGAAAGTGGCATTGTGGTTTGTTTCAAAAAGAAATGCCTGGGTGGCTTGTTGTTGTTGTTATGTGCCGTGGAGTCAGTTCCAACTCACAGCAACCCTGTACAGAGATTCTGAAGCTGTAAATCTTTACGGGAGCAGAAAGCCTCATCTTTCTCCTGTGGAACCGTTCGTTGGTAGTTTCGAACTGCTGACTTTGAGGTTAGCAGCCCGATTTGTAACCACTACGCTACACAGTTTTAAATCAACTACTAACCAAATGGCTAGAGGTTCAAGCCTAACCAGAGGTGATGTGGAAGAAAAGCTTGGCAATCTACTTCCTTAAAGATCAGAGCTTTTATGGAGCCGTTTTTGTACCCTGTGACACATGAATCAGAATGGACTCAAAAGCAATGAGTTTTGATTTGTTTTTATTGTTGTTGTTAATCTTTTGGAGCTATCTAGGCTAAGATGTTGATGGATAAAATAGAGGATGTTGAAGATCTGCTTTAAGATAACCCAGTGGGTGGGATGGAAGAGGAAAAAGCTGAAACAAGGTTGAGGAGTTGAGACTTGTTAAACTTGGATGACAGATTCACCAAGGGTCATTCTGTCATGACTCTTACTTTTGTGTATGTTTGGAATTTTCCAGAATAAAAAACTTATTTGAAAAACATTCCAAAACTCCCTGCACCTTGAGGAGCTAACATTCCAATAGGAATGACAGATAATAGCAAACATAAATAAGTAAAAGATAGCGTGTCAGGAGGCAGTGAGGGCTTTAGAAGCAAACTTCTGTGACAGGAAGTGACAAGGGAGGCTTGGAGGGGGGCGGGGGCTTCTATTGTAAATAAAGAAGTCAGGAAAATTGTCACTGAGAAGGTTACACTGGAGTAATAACTTGAAGGCAGTGAGAGAGGAAGCCCTGTACATTTCTGGAAGAAGAGCAAGAGTGGTGTGGGCAGAGGATATAGCCAGTGCAAAGGCCCTGGGGCAGGAATGTGCCTGCCAGTGTTCAAGAAGCCAGTGGGCTAGAGGGGAGCAAGGAAAGGAAGAGTGGAGAGTCAGTCAGAGGGAAGGGGCAGATGGTGCTGGGACTGGGGGGCGGGGGGAGTGCACAGGAGGACTCTGGTTTTTATCCACTTTGGGCTGGAAGCCTGATGTACCACTTGGATTGAGCACATGTGACAATCAAGGGCAAATACATGTCTCAGGTTTCTTCCTTGAACTAAGATGACCCTCTACACAGACTCTGGCCCACTCTGGACCTAGCCCCTGCCATGGGAGGATGGGGCTTGAGGTCCTGGGGCAGCCTGGGCCAAGATTTAGGGGACCCCAGAGGAGTGACTTCACCCAATCTCCAGGCCCCCTCCTGCTGGGATATCTCTACCCTTTCCTCACCCACCCCTCCCCACACTTCTTCCTTCCTGTACCCTCCCCCACACCCCCACAAAATGCACAAACAGGACTATGCCCCTCCTCCCTCCTGCTTCCAAAACACTGAGTCATGGGCTGGAGGAAACTTGGGGGAAGAGGTGCCCACACCATCTTCTTACCTGCAGTTCCTGGAACAGCAAGTCGGCCAGGACTCGGTGGCAGAGCCGGGTCACACGATCCAGAGCGCTGGCCGCTGCTTCCCGGGCTGGTTCACTTTCAGGGGGCCCCACTCGGGCCAGCCGCTCAGCCAGAGCCCTGTGGGATCAATGGAGTCAAAAGGCCAGGAACTCCAATATCCTAACCCAATTGGCTGTTTTTCCTTAGTCCCTGTGATGGCAGGGCTGGGGACGTCAGGGGGCCTGAGGAAGGCCTATAGGCTAGGGAATATCAGGGAGAGCTGAGGAAGGTCTAGGGGTTTAGGGAATGTTGGTGGTGGGGAAGAGGTCTCTCTGAGTACTAGTTTCTCTTGGTTCCTTTCTAAGAGACAAAGGAGTACTTGACCCAGCAGGTGCCCTCTGGGAGTGTGGCTCTCAGACCCCTACCCTCCTGGCGGAAGAATATGTGTGCGGAGGTTTTTCTCTACAAAAAAGAGGAGTCAAATACCCATCCAACAGACACCGCATCAAACAAGGATAGTACATCTAAACAGTGAAATAGGGTTCTGTTACTACAAAGGAATTTAGAAACTTCAAGTCTTCATATAAATGAAGAGACTGAGGTCGTTAAAAGCTTCATTTTGCTCGGATCAACCATCAACACTCATGGAAGCAGCAGCCAAGAAATCAAACAATGTATTACATTAGGCAAATTTGCTTTACAAGACCTCTTTAAAGTGTTGAAGAGCCAAGATGTCAGCTTGAGGACTAAGGTGTGCCTGACCCAAGCCATGATATTTTCAATAACCTCATATGCATGCGAAAACTGGACAGTGAATAAGGAAGACCATAGAAGAATTGACGCCTTTGAGTTATGGTGGAGGAGAATATTGAAAGTGCCATGGGCTGCCAAAAGAACAAATAAATCTGTGTTGGGAGAAGTATAACCATAGTACTCCTTGGAAGCCAGTATGGCCAAACTTCATCGCTTATATTTCGGACACATTATCAGGAGGGACCAGTCACTGGAGAAGGATATCATGTTTGGTAAAGTGGAGGGTCAGAGAAAAAGAGGAAGACCCCACCCCCCTCCAGAGAGAGGGACTCAGGTGTAGCAAAGGTTGTGAGGTTGGCCCAGGACTGGGCAGTGTTTTGTTCTGTTGAACGAAACAGAATGCTATGAATCTATAAATTGGTACTGTCTCAAGGGCACCTAACAACAACAACAACAACTCTACATTCACAAATATGAAAAGACCCCCAAGCTGTTAAATGGAGGAAGGGCAAAAGAGTATACAGTGTTCTACCATTTGTATTTAAAAGAAGGAGGAGAAGAAGAAAAAGGAAATATATACATGCAAAAAAGTTCATGGAAAAAAATGGAATGAAAAGATATTGTAATTTTTCCACAAATTTTTTGAAGCTGCTGCATATATTTGCTTGTATGTATATATGCTTGGACTCCTGGTGTGGCGCTGTAGGATAAGCACTTGACTATAAACCATAAGGTCTGTGGCTCAAACCCACCAGCTGCTTCTTGGAAACCCTATACTGTGAGTCAGAACTGATTCAATGGCAGTTAACAACAATGTAATATAAAAAGGTCTAATGATCCAGGCCTGGTGTGGTGCTGTGGGTTAATGCGCCAGACTGCAAAGCCGTTTGAACTGCAAGGTTGGCAGTTCAAGTTCACCAGCTGGTCCTCGGTAACCCTATACAGGGTCGCTATGGGTCGTTACTGACTCCAGGGCATGTAACAACAATAACTATGAAACAATGATACAGTTCTGCGGGAAAAAGATGAGAATTTCTAGCTCAGGCAAAGATATAAATCCTTGGAAATCCTACATAGGATTGCAATGACTAGGAAGCAGCTCGATGGCACTTAAAAATAATGGCACAGTTATGGAGTTCTGTTGTGGTGGTGTAGGACAAGCAGTAAACTACTAACTGAAAACATAGGTGGTTCAAACGCACCAGCCACTCTTCAGAAACCCTATACAGAGTTGATATGAGTTGGAATTGACTTAAAGGCATTTAACAACAACAACAATGACACAGTGGTTAAAGCACACGGTTGTTAACCAAGAAGTGGGTGGTTGGGACCCACCAGTGGCTCTGTGGGAGAAAAACCTGGCGATCTGCTCCCACAAAGACTCCAAAACCCAGACCCACTGTCTTTGAGTTCATTCTGATTCATAGCAAGCCCCATATTGTTCTTGTTGAATGTTGGGGAGTTGGTAAAACTGTCCTGGGGGGTTTTGAGGCTGTAATCTTTACAGAAGCCGATGGCCACTTCTTTCTCCCTTGGTGTGGCTTTCGGGCTTGAACTTCAGACCTTTTGGTTAGCAGCTGAGCGCTTAACCACTGTGCAACCAGAACTTCTACCAAAGGTTCCAGCCTATATCCTATAGGGCAGTTCTGCTCCATCTGGGTTGCTATGAATTGGATATGATTTGATGGCATCTTCCATATGCAATACACATTGTATATGTAATGTATATCTGTGTACTTGTATTTAAGTGCATTTATGTAGCATAGTGGTTATGAATCGGACTGCAAACCACAAGGTCAGCAGTTCGAAACTACCAGCCGTTCCGCGGGAGAAAGATGAGGCTTTCTGCTCCAGTAAAGATTTACAGTCTCAGAAACCCTGTATAAGGTCACTATGAGTCGGAACCGACTCCACGGCCCATAACCACCACCACCATGTGTGTATATGTAGCAGTAGCAAGGGACTCAAGCATAAAACCAGTTGTGAGGATCAGACTGCTTCCTTTTGTTGTTCATAGGGTACTTCTGAGTTTGACTCCTCCACACCTGAAAACCACAATGTATTTATACATAAAATATTTATACATAAAAATGCAGCCGGACCTAGTGCTGTCATAGCGACGCTATAGATGCCTTAGAACAGAAGAGACTAACTGCCCCATGGGGTTTCCAACGCTGTGATCTTTGCAGAAGCACATTGTCATGCATCTTTCTCCGGTTCCTGGTACGTTCCAACTTTGGACTTTTCGGTTAGCAGCTCAGTACTTTAAGCACTGAGCCACCAGGGCTCCCACTATAATTAAATATCCCACTGTGGTCAAATCAACTCTGACTGCGCATATACACATTTAAGGAGCCCTGGTGTCATAGTGGGTTATGTGTTGGGCTGCTAACTGCAAGGTCAGCAGTTCAAATCTACCAGTTGCTCCTCAGGAGTAAGATGAGGTTATCTGCTCCCACAATGATTTCTAACTTCAGAACCCTTATATAGGGTCGCTACGAGCCAGAACATAATCACAGAAATATTAAAAAAGAAATGTATATATATAAAGAGAGAGCTCTGGTAGCATAGTGGTTACAAATCAGGCTGTGAGCCGCAAGGTCAGCAGTTTGAAACGACCAGCTGTTCCGCGGGAGAAAGATGAGTCTTTCTGCTCCTGTAAAGATTTATAGCCTCGGAAACACTGTACAGGGTCTCTATGAGTTGGAACCGACTCCACGGCACATAACAATATATATATATATATATATACACATACATATTTACACATATTCACAGAAAGTACACACTTGCACACTTGTCCCCGCAAAGTACACTGGAGAAACCAGTCATTTGGGTCATCCCAGGAATAAGAAACCTGGGTGGTAAGGAGACTTCTCAATCTGTGAAATGATACTTCTTGAATTTGAACCATGTGAATACATTCACAATTTTTTTAATGCAATTAACAAAATGAAAGTCAGTTTTTAAAAAGGACACACACACACACAATCCTGAAATTGTCAGTTTTAAGAGTCTTGCTCCTAGATCTCTGTCACTCTAACTCTAAGAACCAAAATAAACAATCAGATCCACTGTCACACAGTCGATTCCAACTCATGGGGACCCTTGTATGTTCCAGAGCAGAAGTAGGCTCCAGAGAGTTTTCTTGGCTTTGGCACTGTAGGATCAGCACTGGACTGCAAACCACAAGGTCGGCAGTTCAAATCCACTAGCTGCTCCTCATAAACCCTATACAGGGTCGTTATGAGTTGGAACCAACTCTGGTAGCGTAGTGGTTACGAATCGGGCTGCGAACCTCAGAGTCAGCAGTTCGAAACTACCAGCTGTTCCGCAGGAGAAAGATGAGGCTTTCTGCTCCCGTAAAGATTTACAACCTCAGAAACCCTATGCAGGGTCGCTATGGGTCAGAACGGACTCCACGGCACTTAACAACAACAAGTGGCACAACAACAATATTTAGAAGTAGATTGCCAGCCCTTTCTTTCACACCACAACTAAGTGGGTTTGAACTTCCAACCTTTAGATTAGTGTTATTGTTATTAAGTGCCCACAAGTTGGTTCTGACTCATAGCGATCCTGTATAGGGTTTCCTAGAAGCGGCTGGTGAGTTTCAACCTGTGACCTTGCAGTTTAAACTATGCAGTTCAGTGCTTAGCCTACAGTGCCACACAAGGATTCCTTTAGATTAGTTTTTGCTGTTATTAAATACCATCGAGTTAGGTCGACTCATAGTGACCCTAGATAGGATTTCTGAAGAATAGCTGGTGAGTTTGAACGGCCGACATTGTGGTCCAGTTCTTATCTTGGTGGAGGTGTTGTGGTTACGTGCTGTGGAGTCGGTTTCGATTCATAATCTTGTCGGGAGCAGAAAGCCTCATCTTTCTTTTGCGGAACAGCTAGTAGTTTTGAACTGCTGACCTTGAGGTTCACAGCCTGACTCGTAACCACTACACTACCACAGCTTCTTGTGCTTATCCTGTTGTTGTTGTTATGTGTGTGGAGTCAGTTCCGACTCATAGTGACCCTGTACAGGGTTTCCTTGGCTGTAAATCTTTACGGGAGCAGAAAGCCTCATCTTTCTCCCATGGAACGGCTGGTAGTTTCAAACCGCTTACCTTGCGGTTCGCAGCCCGATTCGTAACCACTACGCTACCAGAGCTCCTTATGAGTTTAAGTTGCTTGTGGCACACATAACCACCTCCGAGTCAATTCTGACTCATAGAGACCCTGGGAGAGTAGAACTGCTCTTTAGGGTTTCTGAGACTGCAAATCTTTACAAGGACCAGACAAGCTCATTTTTCTTCCTTGGATTGGCTGGTGGATTTGAACTGCCTGCCCTGTGGTTAGCAGTGCAACACTTAGTCCCACTCCGTCCACAGGTATATTGTTAAGTGCTGTCGTGTCTGTATCTCCACAGACTTGGTTGTTGGTAAGTGTCATAGAGTCGGTCAGGCCTCATGGTGACCCTATATCGAATTTCTGAGGAGCGGCTGGTGAGTTTGAATCACTGACCTTTTGGTTCAAACCGACCTTGCGGTCCAGTGCACCACACCAGGATTCTGATTTCACAGATATAAGGGTGAAAATTTATAGTACAAAATTTTAGGGAGTGCCAAACCAAACTAAACCCACTAGCTGTTGAGTTGACGCTGAAACACTAAAGGGCAGACAGTCTGATGCTTAACCCACAGCATACCAGAACTCCTTCGGTGCCACACTAGGACCTTCTAACTCTCCAATGCCCGAACCATGGTTCTCTCTAAGACTCGCAGATTCTACAATTCTTAGACCCCTTGTACATGCAGGCCACCAGGGTCTGGATACCTGTCCTTCAGGGCTGACCAGTTCACCTGTCCCTTGGGACGGACCCTCCCCCTCACACACACTGCTCACTCTCACCGAAGGGGAGGCCCACAGTTGACCAGAGCGATAGTCCTACTGATGTAAGTGTCAGGCGGCAGCTCGCGGACTCCTGGGTTCTCGTGGAATCGCTCCACGCGCTGCTGGAAGCTGAGGTAGAAGGAGGAGGGATGCCAGATGGAGAGAGCAGCTGGGTATGGCCCCTTGCAGGGTGCTTGCCCCCTCTTCCCCCTCACACACACCCCACTACACTCTCTTCTTCCCTGCTTGATTCATCTCTCTGCTCTCTGTTGGATCCTCAGATCTGAGACTGGTTCCTGAGATCTGAGACCCCAGACCTTCTTCCCACATTCCCCATACCTCTGCAGGAACTCTGCCAGCCCTGCAAGGCAGCAGTGGGCCATCCGCTCCCCGAACTCCTGACTGATGCGGGGTGCACGCTCTGTGTGCTCTTCCAACAGCTGTATGGTCCAGGGGAGGGGGAGGCATTAGCAGAGGAGGAGAGCTTACCTTCCCACCCCACACTGTCCCGCTGTCCCCCTCTCCATACCTCACACACATCCTGGGCCAGGCTGCTGGGCTGATCCTCGCTGGCCCCCCATTGCTCCTCATCCTCTTGTAGCACACGGAGCAGGGCTGCCCTTGTCTGAACCTAGAGGGTGGGGCAGAGTCAGGGATCCCTGGTCTGAGAATTCTCTCCCCCTTGATCCCCTCTCCCTTAGCCTCAAGCACTGTAGTAATAACCAACAGCTCATAGCAGGAAGAGCTAGTCAAGGTGATATGGAGGTGACAGTTTGCACCAGAAACACCACCCCTACCCCTTCCAAACCCAAGTCTATGATTTACAGCCAAGAGGTAGAAACAATTTAAATGTCTATCAACAGATGAAAGGGTAAACAAGATGTGGTATATGATGCATTCCCACATATAAAACATCTATGGAAACAATGTGTGTACACACTTCACGCATATAATCACGTAGGATACTAATGCACATGGGAAACCTGCAGTTTGCAAAAAATATCTATTCTAGTGCATGTATGCAAAATACCGTGCACACCGCTGCAAACTCTAGGCCCATGGACTGAGTAAGGCTGTGTGCCTGCAACCAGGAAGCTGGTTTGCAGAAGATGCCCTTAGGACATTGAGATGAATATATATATATTTTGTTTTGTTATGTGTATACCTAATATTTTTGCTTTGTTCATTTGTGAAATGTAAGATTTAAAAGGGAAGCCACAGGGAGGAAGTTAGATAACTGTTGTTGCAGGGAGGGGATTGTAATCACTGAGATGAAACAAAGTATATAATTTGTTGAATGTAAAGCCATGATCTTGTCTGCAAACCCATTCAATTCACAATAAAAAATTAAAACAAAAATACAGTGCACACGATAAAATATGAAAACCTACTACTGTCAACTGAGTGGATTCATCACCATCCTACAGGACAAAGATGGTTGTTGTTGTTAAGTGCCACTGTGTCAATTCTGACTCATAGCTGTAATCTTCATACCTGGTATGGTGCTATAGGATAAGCACTCGATCACAAGTTCAATTTGGACCTCAAGGTCGGCAGTTCAAACACACCAGCTGCTACTAGGAAACCTTATCTAGGGTCGCTATGAGTTGGAAATGACTCCCCGGCAACAATTTACAGAAGCAGACTGCCACACCCTTCTCCCACGAAGTGGCTGGTGGGTTCAAATCATCAACTTTTTGGTTAGTAGCTAAATGCTTAACCCATGTCCATCAAGAAATGAATGGATATTTAAAACCTTAACATGAAACCATTTTGAGGTCACCTTATAGCAAAATAAGAAATGGGCATGCAAAATGAAGGCTATTACTTGAGTACAGTGCTCCACCGGAGCCCTGGTGTTGCACTGTGGGTTAATGTGCTGAACTGCAAAGTAGGGTTGATCCCCAAGGTCAGCGGTTCAAGCTCACTAGCTGCTCCTTAGAAACCCTATACAGGGTCACTAAGGGTCTGACCCGACTCAACAGGCACTTAATAACAACTACAACACAGTGTCAGCTACATGAGATGAAAAGGTCAACAAAGACTCTAAATAAAAATGAGAAGATGAGGGGGCAGGGAAACTAGAGTACTGGAAATAGTACAGAGCAACCAGAATGCTATGAAAGAGAGTGTTGACACATTGTGGAAAAGTGTAACTAAGGTCACTGTATAGTTTATGTCAAAATTGTCAAATGCAAACCTAATTTGCTGTGTAAACGCTCACGGAAAGCACAATAAAAATTTATTATTATTATTAAAAAAAAGAATGGATTCTATTTATCAGCCATAAAGAGAAACGAAGTTCTGATTCATGCTACCACACGGATGAACCTTGAACACAGAACACTGAGCGAAATGTCAGGCACAAAAGGATACATAGTGTATGATCCCACGTGAGCTATCTAGAGATATCTAGAATAAGTAAATGTATAGTGAGCAAAGTATATTGGTGGTTACCAGTAATGGGAGTGTGGCAGTGTAGGATAAGCACTAGACTGCTAACCATAAGGTAGCGGTACAAAGCCACCAGCCACTCCTTGAAAACCCTATACAGGGTTGCTATGACGCAGAACCAACTTGATGGCACTTAACAACAACAACAACAACACAGGAAGGAAGGGGGGGGGAGAAGGGCGTCATTGTTTAAGTGGTACTGAATTTCTGGAAGGGGCAACCAGTGAGACAATTTGGAAACAATGAAGCTAGGTAACATAGCAAATGATTAACATCACTGAAATGCGCATGGAAAATGTTGAAGAAATGGCAATGATTTTGTTACACACTAAGATTTGTTGTTGTTGTTATTAAGTGCTGTCCAGCAGATAGGACCTATAGTGACCCTAATACAGGGTTTCCAAGGAGCAGCTGGTGGGTTTGAACCACCGACCTTGTGGTTCACAGTCGAGTGCTTACCCTACAGAGCCACACCAGGAGTTCCCAATATATATGTATATATGTTTTTGTTAAATGCTGTCAAGCCGGTTCTGACTTATAGCAATCCTGTAGAGGGTTTCTGAGCAGCAACTGGTGAGACTGAACCACCAGCACTGAGGTTCAAACCAACTTTTTGGTTGAGTACTTGTCCTACAGCACCTCACCAGCACTCCATATAAATAATATATAACCCCAAGGTCAGCAGTTCAAACTCACCAGCTGCTCCTCAGAATCCCTATACAGGGGTGCAATGGGTTGAAACCGACTCAACAGCACTTAACAACAACAAATTTGTATATATTTGTAAAAAACCAAACCAAACCAAATATATATATATGTTGTTATTAAGTGCCATTTTGTTGTTAATGCCATTGAGTCAGTTCTGACCCATAGCGACCCTGTATAGGGTTTCTGAGGAGTGACTGGTGAGCTTGAACCGCTGACTTTGCAGTCAGTCTAGTGCATTACCACACAGCATCACACCAGGACTCCAAGTGCTATACAGTCAGTTGTTATGAAGTGCCACTGAGTTGGTTCCCACTCACAGAGACCTTGTATAGAGTTTCTGAGACCATAAATCTACAGGGACAACAGAATTGACTCAACAGCACTTAATAACATATGTATACATATATGTTATGTATATAGTTGCTGTTGTTAAGGGCCATCGAGTCATTTCCAACTCATAGCAACCCTATACAGTGTTTCTGAGAAGCAGCTGGTAAATTTGAACCACCGACCTTGTGGTCCAGTGCCTATCCTACAGCACCATTCTAGAACTCTTCCTCTCTATAACCATAATTGAAAATTCAGTGGCTTTTCCCATCTTTTTTATAGTTGTAAATATAACACATTTGACAATTCAACATTTTTCACATGTACAATCTGATGATTATCAATTACCCGAATGGTGTTGTGTAGCCCTCACCAAAGATCATTGCCAAATTTTCCATCTTCATAAACATACACTCCAGCTTCCTAAACAATGAGAGTTTGGCTTCCTCCATTTCATAGCTAGTGGGCTAATGGGTCTATGATTTCCTTATTCGATGGTTCGGAGACTGTTCTCAGGTTTTGCAAAAACAATGAGCTCAAGATTCTCAGATTCTGTGCCTCAGCTATGCCAAGGGTCTAAGGGTTTGTGATCAACTAAAGGTTGATGTTTAAACCCACCCAGCAGTGCTGTGGAAGAAAGGCCTGGCGATCTGCTTCTGTAAAGATTCCAGCCAAGAACAACCTATGGAGCAGTTCTCTTCTGTAACACAAGGGGTCACTGTGAGTCGGAACTGACGTGATGATCACAGGTTTGCGATTCAAAGTGACTACATGGGCTTACACTTCTGTGTCTTGGCAAGTAGGCAGAGCTTTTGGACAGAACTCAGAAGTTTGCAAAGGAAAAGGGAGATGAAAAGAGTGAAAGAGAGGAGAGGGAGCCACCCCAAGCCTGCTGTGCCTCTCTCCCCAGCCGTTCCCAAATTGCCAATGCCAAGTCCCAGATACCTTCACATCTGTGACACATTCATCCTCCAAACCCCGCAGTGTGCCAGCAGACAGAAGGGGCCCCAGCTCGCCGTTCTCCAGGGCGACCATGTCCACCAGCCCTAAGACCTCTCTGGGGGTGGGGGATAAGAAACAGGGAGGGTTGTGAGGGATGAGGCTGAACAATGATCCATCTCCATCTCCTGACACTTGCTGCCTGAGTGATCCTGAGCCACTCCCTTCCTTTCTCTGGGCCAGCTTTGCTCATCTCTCAAAGGAAGTCTTTGCTTCCCTGGCTCCAGTTGTGAGTCAGCTCCCTGATGGATGGTGTCCGGGCAAGATTTGTAGGGGTCAAGTCCAGACTTGATGCTGTGACATGCAAAACCTCACCCACGCTTGGCTTCACCTATCCGAAGCTCTCTTCCACCTCCACTCTTGAGTCCGCCACCACACCTGGTCTTCAAGTCCTCCCCTATCCATTTCTCCCTCCCTTCTTAGGCCTGTGCAATAGCATCACTGCCCACCCCCATTTTTCCAAGGCTTTTGCTCATGGCTTACTCTCAGCCAGAAACACCATCCATCTCCCTACCAACGGGGAATGCAGTCAGGAAGCGCTCCAGACTCTCCATCCTGCCTCAATCGCTCACAGATGGCATGAGGACGCCCATTCACATGCATTCTCAAGTGGGATCTGTGTGGTTGATATCGGCTGCTGTTACCTCCAGCTTTTCTGGGACTAGCACCTGATTTTGTGGGCGGAACCACCCCCATTTCCTGTGCTTTCCAATATGGTTTGGGTGTGGTGGACTCCCTTGTCCCTGGAGTGCCTACCTGATCCAGTCATGGCTATTCATCGTGTTCTACCTCTCAGCCACAAGAATGGGTGTTTTAGGAACTCAAAAACTTAATATTAATAGTTAGGAGTCTAAGACAGAGAAAGCCAATGGCTGAGGTTATAGAATTCAAGTGGCCAACGGGGTTAAAGTATGAAAAGCAGAAAGGTCAACAATGCCAGTGTTGTAGGATCCAAAGAGGAAATGAGGCTAAGGTTTAGAATTTGAAGGCTCATTGGTAGGGAGATTCTAAGATGGGGAGAGTTAAAGAAAGAGCAATATAAGGGATCTAGGATTCTAAGGAGCAAAAGTTCCAAGGTTTTAGAATGAGAAAGGTTGACGATGGTATGAGGATTCTAGGATGTAAGAGTCATTGGGAAGGCATTTTGCATGGGAATGACTCCAGCCAGGGAGAACATAATTCTATCTTGGGCCTAGGTTTAAGTGTTCAAATGCCATTTCTTCTTGAGTAGCTCATGCACCTCTGACTGTCAGACTGCCAGAGTTAGAAGCAAAGTATATTTAAAAGGGGGTTTGGGGTCACTTCCTCCAGCTGGCGCTTGCAGGAAGGTTCCTAGACACACCCTTTAGCAAGCGTCTGGTTGTGATGCCATGCCCCAAAGCCTCAGAGATAGTACATTTTCCTCTGTATAATGGCCCCCTCAGTTTCCAGAGGTCTGGCATATATGTGTGAAGTGCTGCTACAGCCTGCTGTGGTTGTAGGGAGAGATTCCTTTGCTTTCTATGCCCTTTCAAATGTCACCACATGGAGGCAGGACTTTGGAAATTCCTCATGGCATCATATTGAAGATTTCCCTCACCAGGATGAGGCAAATAAAGAGTCTCTGAGGTTTTCTGCTCCCATAAAAATTTACAGCCTTGGAAACCCTGTACAATGTCGCTATCAGTCAGAACTGACTCCACGGCACAAAGCCACCAACCACCACCTTACTATTCATATATTTGAAAATGGGGTCTGTTTTCTCCCCTACAACAGTGTTAAAGTTCAAGAATGGGGAAGGATAGGCGATGCTTGGACTGTAAGAGTGGGCGATGCTAAGATTCTCAGAGTGTGTCAAGGATCTAAGGTTTTCAGATTGGAAGTGTCTATGGTGGTGAGTTGCTAGGTTGGGAAGGGGTAATAGTGTTAATAAGGTTCTAGATCTGGAAGCGTCTGTGGTAATAATAAGGTTCTAGGCTGAAAGTTCAGTAGTTCAAACCCACCAGCTGCTCCTCAGAAATTCTATACAGGGTCGCTATAAGTTGGATCCAACTTGATGGCACTTAACAACAACAACAGATGTGAAGGGAGTGGTCACTGACACCAAGGTTCTAATTCTAGAAGGGTCCATTCTAGATCTGGAAAGATCTGTGATGCTAATAAGGCTCTAGGTTTGGAAGAGTTAATGGTCTAAGGTTCTAGATTTGGAAGGGTCACTGGACTAGGATTTTAAGGCTGCAAAGACCCATGGTGCTAAGGTTCTAGGGCTTTTGGAGTGGACAGTGTTACGGATCTAGGATTGAAATGTCAACAGTGCAGAGATCTGGGAGGGTTAGTGATACCAAAAAGCTCCTAGAACCAGAAGCTTTAGTGATGTTAATGGAGGAGTAAACAGCTCTTAGGTTGTAACTTTTGGAAGAGTCAGTAGTGTGGATGTTCTAGTCGGAGGTGCTAAGGTTTCAGAGTTGCCAAGATCAAGGCTGTTAAGGTCCTTGGACGGCAAGGATGGAGAATACTGAGAGATTCTACCGCTCTAGATCTAGAAGGTTCCATGTCCCTGAAGTATTAGGATTGGAAGGGTTAATCGGTGCTGATAATATCTAGGACTGGAAGGGTCAGCGGTACTAAGGTTTCCTGCTGGATGTGATCAGTGTTGTAAGGGAGGAGAGTGATGATTTTAGGGTTGAAATGTCAGGAAGGGTCAGGGATTCCAAGAAGGTTCTAGGATTGATGGGCCATATGTTCCGAGGTCCTGAGGCCCCAAGAGTCAAGCGTTCTGGGTGGGGGTTCCACGCCAGCTCACCTGGGGTACACCTGGTTATGCCAGTGCAGCAGCGCGTAGCGGTCGGCCAGCGGCAGCCTGCGACGTGCGGCGGCCCCCAGCCACTCGGCCAGCGCTCCATGGTAGCCGCGCAGGTAGACCCCGAAGGCGCCCAGGCCCACAGGGTAGGAGGGCGCCAGGCGGCCGCGAACCACGCCCATGTCCTCCAGCAGCCGCGCCC